GTTAAATTGTCGTCCACAGCTGCTCTTGAGACCACATATTACCTACTTCTCTCTAGTGACATGGAAGCAGCAACAGCCAACTTAGCTGGTGTCGGTATCGCATTGAGTGACAAAGCGGAGGCTACATTACTCGACTGGTTTCCAATCGACAGCCGGCTGTGGGCGCTTCGGCTTCAAGGCTCATGTAGAATCAACAGACATCGTAAGGAGAGGCGCAAATTATTTGCTGTTTCTGCCTACGCTCCAACCGGCTGCAGCTGTGCATCGGTTAAAGATGACTTTTATCGTGGTCCCCACAACCTTCTGAACAAAGCCGAAAAATCGGATGTCATCGTCCTTGCCGAAGATCTCAGTGGACGAGCAGGTGGCCTGCTTCCGTGCGAACATCTTTGTGGAAGTCCAGCGCTTGATGAAAGCCATTATGACAACGGTGATAGAACTCTTACGTTATGCGAAGACCACCGTCTGTTTTTCGCAAGTACGAACTTTAGGCATACCAGAAGACGCGCAGTCACCTGGCGTCCTCATTCACTAACACCAGCGTGGTCACAAATAGATCACATTGCAATCAGCTTTAGATGGCGAGGCAGAGTCCGGAGTTGTAGATCGATTTGGTCTACGTACCTCGATTCAGATCAGGCTTTGGTCTACGCGGACGTCTGCATGTGCTTCGGCGGCTCCTCAAAGCGAAAGCATACGCTCGATACCAACAAGTTAGCTGACCTTTCTACTCGATCAACTTATCAACCTTCCTTATCGAATGCATTCATTGGGGCTCCATCTCAAGACATTGATAATCATTGGAGTTTCCTTCGTGAAGTGATGCTAACTTCAAACCATTCAGTCTGCGGAATCACAGGGCGCCCCCTGAAGGGCTGGATTTCCGCACACTCACTAGGATTGTTTGATCATCGTAGAGCTATCAAAGCTGATTCAAATAGCAGTACATTGCGTCGCATTCTCAGCCAAAAATTAAGCAAAGCCTGGTGCGGATCGCAAAATTTGGTGGTCCCAGCGCGCCTCAGAGATGGCAACGGCAGCCCTCTCTGGAAACTTCCGCAAGCTCTTATAGGTCATTCGGACCACTGGTCACAAAAGTCCTGGTGTCGGTGAGGTCTTTCGCGAGATTAACGGAACGCCGATAAGCAACTTACACAGGTGTATGGACCGCTGGGCTAAACACTTATGCACTCAATTCAGTTGGCCTCCGCCGGCGAGTCTATTGAGTATACCTACTTGCGCGCCTTAGTACGTTTCTTTGGAACCACCCACTGAAGTTGAGGTCAGCCTTGAGCTAAGACACTTGAAGAGATTCAAGTCCGCTGGCCCAAACGGACTTCCTCCAGACCTGAACAAGTTCGGGGGCGAAGCACTTGTCAACCGGTTAACAGCGTTGTTCTCTAAGATCTGGTGTGAAGAAACAGTTCCATCCGCTTGCAGCGAATCAATTATCGACGCGATCCTCAAGAAAGGTGCCCGCACCCTATGCGCTAACCACCGAGGAATCAGTCAAATGTCCGTTACCACCAAATCATACGTAAACTTCAATACTCGTTACGATCCCCAAATAATGTTCAGATGGCCGAGATTGGACGCTGCGTGCGCTTACAGACGTTCACGGAGCGAGCAACAGCATGGAGTCGAGGTGATGCGCATCGCGGTCTTCAAAATGATACCCTAAAGGGTTAATAAGGGAAACGTTCAAGCATGGTTCCAGGACAACAGCGTCAGTAGAAGCCCAAAAAATCCAGCTCGAATCTCATTGGCCAGAAACCAGCCAATGAGAGCGCTTATCCGTTGGAGTGGGCCAATGGGAGCGCGTTTTGGTTGAAGCCAGCAAACGCAGGCGTTTACCGGGCAACGCTGGTTTCTCGTGACAAGAACTTTATAGCTTATTTTTGTCGGAATAGACTGTCAAAACATTCTACATTTCCTGAATCAATTAAATGTTTGAGTAATTACAAAAGTTCCCATGAAATAGAATGGATCAAGGGAGGCAAAATCTGAGTAAAGAAATCTCTTCGGTAATTCTCATCAGACTCAGACATTACATGATGACGACAAAGTGCAACACGTGCCGGATTGGGCTGCGTGTTGACCAGAATGTTTAATTCCAACAGGAAGAAATCAATAAATTACAGGGTCTTTGAGGGTGGCAAATGATGTACAGGGGAAATCACAGCTGCAGTTGCAAGCCACGGTAGAAGTAAAGGAGGTACAAACTGTTTTTGTACGCACAATTCCGGTATGAGGTGGCGGATATAGATAGTTTCCGCAATAGACAGAAGTTGCTTTCGGAATCCGCGCGAGAAACACTCAGGGATAGTACAGAGGACTCTGCAATCGTTCTCCGTCCCTGCGTGACTGCACTATAGAAGGTGTGACAGGATGGAGCTGTTACTAGACCTCGCTTCGCCATTGTAAAATCACTTCGGGATGTGTTCGCAAATCCTATGAGATAGGCGCCTCGTAGTACGATCCAAGTATCGTGCACCACAGGAGCACGAGTACAGATAAACAAGCATTGAGCGAGTCACCGGAGACAGCCTGTCTTTCATAAGTTTTGCGAACAAAGGCTTGTTGTAAAGTACTATGCGTAGGCGAGCCGCGAGATAAGTCTTTTCAACAGCGTCTTTAAGGTGGTTGGACAGGGCATCAGCTGCACTGTCGCCTATGAGAGGAAAATGCACAATTAGTTCTTTCTTGGGTATGTGCACTCTCGTTGGTTTTATCTTGCGTTCTTTTAACTGCTTGAAGATGAATTTATCTGGATACCCAATCAGTCTTAGAGCGTCACTGATCCTCTGCAACTCTTTGGTGATTGTGACCGGTGTGCAAATTCTGTGTGCCCGGAAAGCAGAGTGCGGACTAGATTTCGTTTGTACTGTAGGGGTACCGCACTATGGAAGTTGGTGTACTGTCCAGTCCAAGTTGGTTTCCTATACACTGCTATGATGTACGATCCATCGGTGTTTTTATGGTATCAACGCTCAGGAACGATAGTCGGTTTCCAGACTAGTGCTCACATGTGAAGTGTAGATTCTAATGAGCATCATTAAAGGCTTCCAACAGTTTCATAGCCTGCGCTTTCGATTTGCAGTGTACAAATGTGTGACCACACAGAGAAGAAAGAAGCTGCTTAATTCGATAAATAGCCAAGTGCCGCAACTGAAGTTTCCAAGCAATCCGGAGAGGTATCTGTTTAACCTTTCTACTATCGTGCTTAGCCCAACACAACTAAATGTTTTACCATTAGATCCTAAGCTTTGCATACCTTGCCTCTCACCTCTCATAGGCGACAGTGCAGCTAATGCCCTGTCCAACCACCTTAAAGACGCTGTTGAAAAGACTTATCTCGCGACTCGCCTACGCATAGTACTTTACAACAAGCTTTTGTTCGTAAAACTTATGAAAGACAGGCTGTCTCCGGTGACTCGCTCAATGCTTGTTTATCTGTACTCGTGCTCCTGTGGTGCACGATACTTGGATCGTACTACGAGGCGCCTGTCTCATAGGATTTGCGAACACATCTCGAAGTGATTTTACAATGGCGAAGCGAGGTCTAGTAACAGCTCCATCCTGTCACACCTTCTATAGTGCAGTCACGCAGGGACGGAGAACGATTGCAGAGTCCTCTGTACTATCCCTGAGTGTTTCTCGCGCGGATTCCGAAAGCAACTTCTGTCTATTGCGGAAACTATCGATATCCGCCACCTCATACCGGGATTGTGCGTACAAAAACAGTTTGTACCTCCTTTACTTCTACCGTGGCTTGCAACTGCAGCTGTGATTTCCCCTGTACATCATTTGCCACCCACAAAGACCCTGTAATTTATTGATTTCTTCCTGTTGGAATTAAACATTCTGGTCAACACGCAGCCCAATCCGGCACGTGTTGCACTTTGTCGTCATCATGTAATGTCTGAGTCTGATGAGAATTACCGAAGAGATTTCTTTACTCAGATTCTGCCTCCCTTGATTAATGCTACTGAATTGAATGTTCTGTCCTTACCTTGTTCTTATCTTTGCACGATAGCCAGCTGTTTGTAACGGTATGTTGTCTACACAAGGTGTAGGCGCCTTGACCCTGAATGTTTGCTTAGGGCATTAAGGTTTTCAGGTAAGTCCCCCTTCTCTTCCTCTTCTTATTCTTTATTTCATAGGTCCTCATGGTTGTATGGCAGCGAAGCATCAGTTCAAATGGCTGATGTACTGCTGTTGATGATGATGATGATGATGACCTTGTTCTTATGATTTGAGAAGTGGCTGAACCGTGATTTGAATAGTCGTGTCGGTTTTCAGTACTGTTAATAGAGACAAAATAGGTACGTCTGGGTGCCGCAAATATAGCCCAAGGGGTGGGTCGATAAGTGTCAGTGCTGAACGGAAGACAACGGCATAAGATATCAGATATGAGCTGTCATACTGTAGTAGTAGTAGTAGTAGTAGTAGTAGCATACAAATAATTGACGATACTAACTTAAAATTATATCTTGTCAATAGTGGTATATAGTGTGGCGATAGTTAAATGTGCGCAAGGCCCGGACAGAGAGATCCGCATGCCAGTGTCAGCATATGAGAGACAAGTTGGCACCCACGATCGCGGGAGTGTAACCACCATCACACGATTGGTCCGACAATGTGCAATCGCCTTCAAAGTATGGAGTAATGTTGTGGGCTAGTACAGGAGCGAGGACAGAGCACCTTCCGACACATGGAAGTTAGCTCGTAAACGAGACCAATCGTGAGCCGCAATAAGAAAGATTAGGCACAACCGGTTGGATGCTATAAATAAGAGGCTATTTTACGACTAATATATTTTGAGAGAGGTCTAACAATTGATCTTTTTCCTGGAGCGCTGCACGTCATTTGGCAACAAGTATAGCGAAGAAATACAGGACGCATACAATCGGAAGTGAATACTAGTGAACTGCTACCAATGTGTCTGTTAATCGCAAAATAAAGTTGACTTTGAAGTGGAAGAGAATGCGCACACTTACCGGTGTATGATATTCCTGTCATGCAGATATGCGATGGCTTTGACGCACTCTTTGGTTACAGCAGCAATCATCGGAACTTCCATGACTGTCTCCATGACGACGTCCGTCAGGGGGCCACCATCCAGGTATTCCATCGTGACCCACAGCTCATTTTCTACGCGCCGGAGGTAGGAGTCCAAGTAATTGACAATACACTCGTGGCTTAGTTCCTTCATTACTTCAATTTCTGATATGATCAAATCACGATTGGGTTGTTTGTCAAGTTTCATAATTTTAATAGCGACCATTTGTTTGGTGTGTCTGTCGCTACCGAGACGCACAGTGCCAGAAGCGCTAAAGAACGGAAAAAAAGCTGATTTAGTACGTAAGGCAAAGCAGAACGCATGCTTAAAGTGACAGTATTTATCAACAAACGACTCTTCTGGTGAATCAGCAAGATTGAGCAGAATAAACAGAGGCGAGTTGAGGCAAAACAAGATTTTGATAAAAATGGCGATCAGGGACGAAGGTGCGAGCCAACACAGTGTGATGTCAAACGCTGACACACCTGAAGGGACAAGATGCCAATACTGAGCGCCATAGTTGTCAGGTGCACAAGTCGGTAGTAGAAACAAACAGTATGGGGGGTCAATGGAACCACAATTGCGTCGAAATCAGAACACATAGAAAGTAACGTGTGTATGACACGTTTAACTATACTGTATAAAAACGAAGACGTAATGGAAACTTAACGGTGGCAGAACATTCGGGAGTGATTTGGTAAAAACGATCTATAGACCACGAGATAACAAATGGCTTTTGATGATTTCAGTGAAGAAGATGACGCTCTAGTATTGCGATCCCCTGGAATTCTCGGAAGTTTTTGTACATCAGAATGCGGAGACGGTTAATCGCTTTGGTCAACCAAGTATTTCGGTCGGTAGCAAGATGAGTGACAAGTAAACATAAAAGCTAAAAAGTATTACCACCTGTGATACAGAAAGAGTTCAGTAAAATGAAAAGCCGTGCTCAAAATCAAAGCATGGAATGCCCGATTTGTAAAGTAGAATCTCGAGAGATGAAGTAAGCAAACAGTGTAGACCTTCTAACAACACCTCCAAGGAAGCAACAATTGGTGCGGAGGGTCAGACGCAGGAAAAACGAAGAAACTAATAGAAAAAAGGACTTTGCCGCGCATTGCGGGGGTGTTCCAGGTGTGAAGGTCCCGCCGACGGTCGGACACAGTCGCAAAACCAATGTTCGACATAAGATGTGATACCGAATGTCAAACTAGGTCAGAAAATAATGACACAGGAATAAATGTCGTTGCTCGATTTCACTCAGTCAAATAGAAAGCCATCGAAAGGCCATAAAACTCAGTGTGGCGGTGCGTAACTACTGCAACCCATTATTAGCAGAGCAGCGCAGGTCAACAATTATGAGCCATCATTTACACTACTCGAACGTGACCAAATGGCTGCTTCGTTCACCTAACAAATCAATTATGTTCCTTCCGACTGGTTACCCACATCGACCATGAGCGAACGCGTCCAAAGTTGAATTTAGACCTCCAAAAACCTTGATTCGCAGTAACACAAAAAGAATGGCATACACGAGATTCGTCAGCATATAAACATGCCGCCTACAATAAGTATTTTTCTCTGGATATGAAAAAGGCATACGACCAGGTGCCTCACAAGCGGCTACTAAAAAAATTGAGTCCTTTGAGATCAGAGAGATCTCGTACCTGAATGGGGGTTCCCAGCTAGTTACTCTGAGTAACCAATACTCTTCCCCACGTGCAATCACTAGAGGTGTAATCCAAGGAACCGGACTTCATTCTGTCATTTTCCTACTCTATATTATAGATATCAGCATGTCAATCAAACATGGCAAACCATTTTTATTTGCCGACAATATGCTCAGCTAGTAAAGCTGGCATCAAATCCTACAGATGTTCGATCCCTGAAGAGAGTTAAACACCACAATGAAAGCATCTGAGTGAAGCTGTCTGTGATCTCAGAGCAGGTCGAACATTAAATAGCACGCGCCAAACGAGCAAGGGCTGACGTGTGTCATAAAATCTATCTAGTCCCTGCCAAAGTCGAATGTCTCAAGATACTCACGCTTCTTGTCCTTGAATACTGCAGCATCATTTATGGAAACATGCGTATGGATGACAGAAAAGCCCTGGAAAGCTTATAAAGATAACTCAATGAAGGTTAGTACAGTAACTCGTCCACCTTGAGCGTTGCCAGCGGCTTATTCTCGAGCCTCTTTGGTTGCGACAACTGAAACGTAACTTGATACTCATGCATAATCTTATAAACCAAAAGACACTCCAACACACCTCAATTCAAGAGCTTGGGAAACAAAGATCATACAGTGACTACACCAGAGGCTAAAACAATAATGTGCTCAAATTTCTTCCTGGTCAGACATAGCTATGTGTGGAATAAACGATCAATCACACTCAGGTCATGTAACGAAGTGGCAACATCCAGTGATAAACTCGCAGACTCATTATCATCGTCATCATAGACGTCAGCAACAGGTGTAAAACACCTCAGCTACTGTGCCGCAATACATAAAAGAAAATAAATGCAACAGTTGCATGCTTGCTGAGCCACCAGCAACAGATGGGCAACATTCCGGTAAGCAACCAGCCGGCTACTATGCAACAAAAATTATGTAATATTATATTACGCCACGAAATGAGATGGTGGTTGGCGGGGAGGCTAAAAGGGATGGGGGGGGACAAAGAAACTCACAGCAGGAACGCCAATGAAATCGGCTCCTAGACCTGTCAGCAAATGTATCTATCATGCGTGTTTATCGTCCTTAAGACCCCAACCAGGGAGCCGTGAAGCTCCAACCGAGGCCAGCTCCGAAATGAGGGCCTTCATTCCTCTTGACCAAGTCATCACTTGGCCACCCCTCCTCTTCCTTCATCCACACCCCCGGGCGAGCAAACAACGCACGTCGCGGGAGTCGTTGGGCTAGCATGCGTAACACGTGGCCGAGCTATCGGAGCCTGGTGCGTGAAATAACGGTGCTGAGCGGTTCAGTTCCTTTTCCAGTGCCGTAAATAAGACGTCGAACACGCTCGTTGCTCAAGCAGTGTTCCCACCAAATGTGAGCCAAACTGCAAAGGCACCGATAATCGGACGTAACTAGCCTCTTTATGTCTGCTGATCTAAGGGGCCAGGTTTCGCAACCGTACAGTAAGGTCGAACGTACCGCTGCATTGTAGACTCCACCCTTCAGGGTGAGAGTGATGTCGCGCCGCCGCCATGAGTGGCGAAGGCTAGCAAAATCACTTCGAGCTTTTGATATTCGGTTCGTGGTCTCATCTTAAATCCCAAGAGCGCTGATACAATTTCCCAGGTAGTTGAATTTCTGAACGACTTCCAGCTGATCCACACCAACGGTCAGCGCAGGAGACGATCCTTACCAATCTTGGAGGAAAGCTTTGCACTTCGATGGTGCAAAGCAAAGCACGAAGCGGCTGACAGCTAGCGCTAGTCTGTCCAATGCAGCTTAGCACGTCTGCGAGCTGTCACAGATGAGGGCAATGTCATCTGCATACTCCAAGTCAAGAAGCCGTTCTCCTGAGTTCCACACCTTCCAAGTCATGTCCTATAAATGCAATCTCCGTCATTCTCGAAGTTGAAGAGGAAAAGTGACAGCGGGCATCTTTGTCTCACATCGCTGGAGATATTGAAGGGCGGCGACAGCTTGCCGTAAGCCCTCACTCTGCCCGTGCTACGCGCGTATAGTGCGTGGGTAATATTTACATATTACTTGGGCACACCTTTCCTTAGCAGACAGTCCCAAAGGGCACATCGATCAACCGAATCGAAGGCACCTTTGATGCCGAGGAACACGACAACAGTGAATAAGACGACGGGAAGGCTTAAGCAGTAGCATCCAAACCCCTATCCACCCTGCTCGATGCAGCAGATAGGGCGCCGTTGATTATCCTCTGCCATGGCTAGAGCACCAAGAAACTGTTTGAAGAAAAATTCAGACAGGCTAGCTTGATCTGAATGAAATAATGTCTAAATGCAAATGGGAAAAATCCCTCGAGAGAGACCCAAAAATGACTAAACAGGCACGTTTCCAAAGCTTAGTTTTCGCCTAAACCTTTAATTAAATCGCTATTATATGAATCTCATGCCCTAATACTGCACATATGCATATGGCTCGTACAAGAGCATGGCTAATCTTGAACATATTGACCTGTGCTGTTACAGACACAATTTACCGGATCATGAGAAGTATACATACTATAATTATTATTAATCGTTCACATTAGAATTGCAACATAACTTCATCCGAAGGCTTCGCAACTATACTTGTAACCTAATTGTGCGAAGAACCAGGACAACTATTCAAATCCAAATTATTCCTCGTCAAATACGCTGTTCTGTGAAAGAGCCTATCAGCCACTATGAGATGGTTACAAATGAAGGAAAATTCCGCATTAAACTTGGAAGCTTTCTGCATCAAAACTCGATAATAATCATCTTTTTATCGGGAATATTAATGAAGGAATTCTTCCAAAACGAACTAGTGGGAAAAGCTGGCGCACGAAACACAGCATTAGTAAAAATCATGTGTTGCAGAATGTTTTAGCAACACAGACGCTACTGAACACATCTCACACCCACCCATGAACATGAGCATAGCTGTACCGATGTGGATATCCTTATTCCATGGACGACAGTGCCTTGCACTTTCGAGAAATACATGTATTACTGATACTGACATGGGCCTTATGCGCTATGGTTGAACAGGGGCTTAGGCGAAAAGAACATAAAATTACTAAAGTATAATACCGAAGAATTCTCAAAAGTGGAAATCAAATGAGACAATGGTAGGTTGTGTAGATGGGTGGAAAATGAGCCTCGTAGTTTTCGGAAGCTACTGCATCTATGTTATGATATTATCAGTGCGCCCAAGTATATGCCGAAGCGAGACCCGAAAGGGGGCGCAAGCTTCAGGTCAGATGTATGAAACACCAAACCACGAGTCTTTAATGGTGAACAATAAGGGGATTTTTCTAACCACGAAATGGCATTAGAAAAGTTGATCAGATTTTCTGGCTCATACTAAGCCACAGTTCTATGAAACAAAAGTGGTGACTCCAAGATTTCAATCTGTGGTAGCCCATTATATTCTCGAGGGTAGTGAATGTGCCACCAATTCAGGAGATATGATCACTGGGGTAATAGCCGTTCGTCTGAGTGAAGCTGGAGACCAATCAGTCGTTACCGAGGAAAACTGATCGCGCTTCGACGACTTAGAGAAGAAGCAGGATCATCTCAAAGTAGAAGGGACAAAGCACAGTT